CCAGCGTCACCTGCCTTCATAAGGAAACAGCACAGACTGCTTGGGCACTCAGGGTGTGCCAGGAGGCTCCTGCCTGGGCCTAGGAGCGTGGACTGCTGGAGTGACAGGAGTTACTGGAGGAGTCCAGTGGACAGGCAGCCATGGGGCTGCTGACGGGGGACCTGCTGACACCCTTGGCTTTGGCCGTGGTCATCTTCCTACTCTTGGTGGACCTCATGCACCGGCGCCCACGCTGGGCTGCACGCTACCCGCCAGGCCCCATGTCACTGCCGGGGCTGGGCAACGCGCTGCAGGTGGACTTCCAGGACATATCCCATTCCTTTGGCAAGGTGAGGGAGTTGGTGTTGGAACACAGCAGGGCCCTGGTCATCCCCCAGCAGGAGACATGCTTGGTGGGTAAAACACAGTCTGGATTAGGAGCTGGGCCCAGAAGAGGAAGCAGATGTGAGGGGCTCCCTGGGGAGAGCATTTGTGCAGGGCCTGAGGGACAGTCTGGAATTTCCAAAAGAAAAGGTCTGGGAGAGCAAAGGCCTGGAGGTGAAGCAGGACTGGGAAATGGGTTTTTAAGACCGTTGGACAGCACAGAATCTGTGGAAGCCCCAAGTCCCTTCTGATGAAACAGAGGGAACGTTCTGGGGAATGGGAGGGAGGTCAGGGTCCTAAGCACCATGTAAATGAGAAAACTGGGGTGGAGAGAGGTGCAGGGACCCGGTTCAAATGTTTTATTGTTGTTGGTCCCTGGGCCTCAAGCTCACCTCCTTAACCCTTAGTTTCCTCATCTGTAAAATGGGATGATAATGGGCTACTGTCAATTTCGGTGATTCTTGCTAGATGATACATACCTGGGTTGTTGGATGCAAACTGAGCTCCTCAAATGTAGAGACTGGGACCCCTAGGATCTGGAGTGCACATTTTGTACTTGAATTGGTGGGCTGCCACAGGCCCCAGGTTCTCACAAGGCGTTATGGTGAGCCCCGAACCAGCAGCCAGGGACCCTGGCTTCATGGACGCCCCACCCTCGTCCTACAGCTGCGGCGCCGCTTCGGGGACGTGTACAGCCTGCAGCTGGCCTCCAAGCCGGCGGTCGTGCTCAACGGGCTGGAGGCCGTGCGCGAGGCCCTGGTGAAGCACAACGAGGACACTGCCGACCGGCCGCCTTCGTCCGTCTCTCAGCACCTGGGCCACAGGCCACACGCGGAAGGCAAGTGAGCACAGCCACTGCGCTGCGAGAACGGGGCAAACGAGCACTTCCCAGATAC